GTGTGTGTGTGTGTGTGTGTGTGTGTGTGTGTGTGTATGCAAAGCAAAGGCTGATTATTTTTGTTCACCTTCAAACGGCCACGTTCCACGACGTTTACAACACACACACACACACACGTACACAAGCATATACACACTCACTCAAGCGTGATCAGTTTCCGCCGAAATCAGAAATGTGAACAGAGGTGAAGGTCAGAGGTCAGGGGGGGATCAATGACCACAATCCTGCTCCAACGTCCCGCCTGCATCCGGACCTCGTGCATCTGTGTGTGTGCGCGTGTTTGAGGCGGGCAGGAAGGCGAGCCGCTGCGGTAACCAGATCGCAGCGTAGAAATCAAGCCAGGTCAAATAGTGGAGTCATTACTCTGATTGAGACGAGCGATTAGTGATGTCTGGTCAGCGAGAGACCAGAGAGGAGCTGTTCATAAACATCTGTCTGGAGCGGTGTTGAAGAAATCCAATGAATCAGACCAAAGCAAATATCTCCTCAAAAAAAAAAATCCAAGATACCCGATAGAGTTTTCTCATATTAACTCATTTCATCTTATATAAGGTTGAATGAACGTGTCTTCGCTTTACCTGGAGAAAGAATATTATTATCATTATGTACCAATATAATGGGTTTCGAAAAACAATCCTACCTCAAAATCCCAAGAGCACTTTGAGCAAAAATACTTAACTCAAGAAAAAAATGATTAATTTCAAAGTGTGAAGAAGTGTCAGCAAAATTAAAACCCGAAAAACTAAGATCTAAAATTCAGATGATTGAGTTCTAGACTTAGAGAACCGTGTTCCCACTTTTTAAATCTAGGTTAAATCAAACTGGACGGACAGTGTTTCAGTACAATCAGCGCTTTATATCCCATAATAAAATAAACAGACTCTTTTCATTCCTTCTTTCTCTTTTCTCTTAAACTGATTCCTTTTCTTTGATTAGACGATTTTTCCCAATCACTCCTCCTCCTCCTCCTGCCTCTGTCTCTTTTTCTTCCGCCGGTCATGGATCAGTGATACCCCCGAGTTCCCAGCCCCCACAGAGAATACACACACACACACGCACACGCACACGCACACGCACACACACACACACACACACACACACACACGTGCTGAACACACAAAAATAATTAGAGCACACTATCAAACAAGCAGACAGTGAATACAAACTGAACACAAACACGCTCATTCAAAGCCAAATCAGAGTTTGACCCCAATGATACACATCACACGGAGAGATTTACAGTGTGTGTGTTTTAGAAAGTGTGTGTAAGTGTGTTTTCTGGTTCTGCATCCTGAGTTTTAGAAAGATTATATGTGCAGTTGAAGTTTCCTCAGAGTGTGTGTGAGAGTGTTTGTGTGTGTGTGTGTGTGTGTGTGTCTGGCGGAGTCCCAGCCTTGTGGAAGACTTCTGGACAGCGGAAGTTGTGTCCTGATTGCTCGTCTCCTCAGTAGAAAAGTAGCTGCATTGTTTTAGTTAATTCTTCCATCAACCGTGACCAATACACACTTAAACAAACACACATGCACGAAAGAACACACAAGCCCACAAATCGGCAATCAAGTCCAGCTTCTGTTCCGTGTTCTATGGAGGTTAAACCGAAGCCCTCGGAGTTTCTGTGTGTGTCCTCGTGTGGGCCAACACTAATGAGACAAAGATCCCTGGTCCAAATGGAAAGAACCAATTGACCATAAAAAGTCTGCATTTCCCGACGCCTCTCTGTGTGTATGTGTGTGACACTGGTGCTGGAGGGAAAAGGAAGCATTATGGGGTCATGAGGGTAAAACACTCCAACGACCCCGTGTTGAAATCCTCGCAGCCGCGCCGACCGACACTTGACAGTCGAGACGAATGGAAACAAACTACGCTGGTAGCGTGTCAGTCAGTAACAGGGGAAGATCCTGTGAGCAGGTACCTGAGGTGCAGATCTTCAGAGTATTTCAAACAGGCATAGATGAACTCTTTGAGCTGGCAGTAGACTTTTGGCACAAACTCGGAGAAGGGGAGCTTCTTGGGGAAGGGAAGCTGCAGGAAACAGAGCAAAACAAAAGGATTAAGTGAGATTTTATTCAATTTATACTTCACATTTTGAGCGACATCAACTTCCCCTCATCAAATCGCACAAAACAACACATGACATTTCTTTCCTCTTCTTCATTCGCTCATCCTAATTTATTCTGATGGCGCCGTTATTTGTCTGATTGTCTCCGAGGACTGAAATGTTCGGGAGGGGCCGTCTGCGAGATCACAATTGTCAGTTGCTCCGGAAACATTTTCTGGAACTTTTCCTGCCGCAACCGAGTAAAATGTCCCGAGTGAGTCCATGTGACGATGCAGCAGGAAGGTTCACAGCGAGCGAATGGGCGCGTTGATGTTTCTGACACGTGACTACAAATATTTTTCAGGATGAAAAAGAGAAACCACACACGTAGAAGACGTGAACTTGGAAATGCGACGAGATTGAAGTTCATACATCATGTCCTGCCTTACCCAGAATCCACCCTGCACCTGAGTGATTTTCCCGTTTTTGTGAACGGGTCTGACCCGAACTATCTCCTGCTGTGTTCTTCATATGCAAAAGAAAAAACTCTAGACACTTTCAGGAGTTTATGGCTGAAAACTGCTTTTGAGCGTCAGCATTTGGTGCAGATCCAATAAATACATGTGTTTTCACAAGGGGTGTGTGTGTGTGTGTGTGTGTGTGTGTGTGTGTGTGTGTGTGTGTGTGTTCAACCGAGTGCCGTTCTACCTTATCCAGTTCAGGGTCTTGCAGGGGAAACTGGGAAGTGTAGTGTCTGTACTCTTGCTCTGTTGACACTGGGATTGGACTGAAGTTATCTTGATCCAACACCTGCCTGAAGAGGAGAAAGACCACAGGAAAAGAATTACAAGAAAAAAAAAAGATTAATACACACACACACACACACACACACACAAGTACATACAAACATAAAGTAGAAACACACACCCAGTGCTTGTGGTTTTCTTGCCACCTTCCTTACCCCCCCCCCCCCCCCCACTTCTTGTTGGCACTCCAGAGTTCGGACGTTCCAACGTTCCATGGAGAGGCCGTGAACCGGAGAGCGCTCTCTCTCCAACAATACAACACAACATTCCTGCGGCTTCCCCAGTGTGTGTGTGTGTGTGTGTGTGTGTGTGTGTGTGTGTGTGTGTGTGTGTGTGTGTGTGTGTTGGGGGGGTTAAGGAGAGAGGGAGTGAGAGTTTGTTTGTCCGCTCTTGCTACTGCAAGTCCCACTGGTGTCATTGGACCAAAGCGATGGTGAAACAATGGCATGTAAGCACACACACACACACACACACACACACACACAGTTTCTTGTAAGGGTACCCATTCTGAAGGGCAGAAAATGTTCCGGACGTTTGCTTTTAAACACTTCCTCTCTCTGGCCGCTTGTTAAACTTCAAAACCAGGACGGGGGACATTTCCCACAAACCAACACTGGTGTGTATGTATGTGTTTGTCATGGTGCGCCCTCGTGACCTTAAGACAAGAAAGGGGAAGGTCAGGGCGGCGTGCACTCAGAAAAACCCCTCAGCTACTGAAAAACAGGAGCATCGCCCTGACGTTCCCCTCATCTCTCTCTCTCTCTCTCTATGGAACAGCGAGGCTCCGTCGTCTTTTAGCGAATCGGTACCTGAAGGCGATGTTCCACCTCTTGAGCAGGATTTCGCCGTACTGCTCCCTTATCTCCAGCAGCATGTCGAACAGCTGTGTGACCGGGAAACCGTAACCCTGCGGCAGAGAGAAGCAGAGTCAGTGCAAAGTTTTTAAGCATCTTGAACGAAGAGGTTTGCATTGTCACTGTCACTGAGTCGTTTACTGACGTGGAGGTGAAACGCTTGTGTGGACATAGTTCGATCTCCACAGATGAGCACGAGCGCAGCCAAAGTCGAATGACGATTTATTGATTTATCCCCTAAAGCAAATTTAAGGAACGAGTAGAATAATAAAAGGCATCGGACTTCGTGTTACGAAGGAGAAAGGGAATGTCGAAAAAGAGACCCATTAAATCATATCGACAGCATGACATGTGGATAGGAAATCAACCGTCACTGCTTTAAATTACTTCTTTTTTCAAACACTGATCAAGAAAAACATCTTTTTATGGTTTTAAAAGTACATTTATGAGTCTGAAATGAAAACGAATCCAAAACGGAACAAAATCTCGGTCTAAAAGGATTAAAACACGTGTGGAAGAGACAAAAAGTGAATTCAGACATTCTGTTACACCTCATCACTTCACGGGAAACACTTTTGGGCACCGTACCAACCCTTCATCGGCTCCTCCTCTTCATCTCAATCACTCATCTCCATCCCGGTTTTCACCCACATCCCCTCTTTCTCCCCTCCATCCCTCCATCCACTCATCCCTCACACTCAATCCATCCAGGTTAGTTCATACGAGCAGCGAAGACATTTATGGAGAGCGAACTGACATCAGACGATGAAGCCGAGCTCGACATTAAGAAAAAGATTTTTCTGGAGAGATTGGCATCTGTTCATTTTCAGAACACTGGATAAGGGTCTCCTGGGTAACAGAGCTGGGTCGAGACTCCCCAACAGAAATAAAAAAGCTGAATCATTTCATACGTGATGATGACCAGGGCTGCAACACCTTCCTTCCTTTTACAGTGTAACCTGAACAATGCTTCTCACACACACACACACACACACATATATACCTGCAGTGTATCAGCAAAGAGGACGATAAGGTTCTTCAGGTCCAGCACAAGGTCGGGGTCGTCACAGTACGACTGAGCAAACAGAGGAGAGGGTCAGTTGTGTTTTGTTTCTTTCCTTAACGACAGAAAATGTCCCGCGTTCATGTCTGAAAGCGGCTCAAGCAAAGGACTTGTCTTACTGAGTGTGTCCTCAGGGCGGCAACTATTTTGGACAGCGCCAGCTCCCACAGCTCCTCGACGTACGCTCTGTTGACCAAACCGTGCGTGGTGTGAAGAACGTGATCCTCCACAACAAAGAACCTGGACAGAGGAAAGGAGGGATGACGCATAATTATAATTATAAACTAATTATATTTATACTGAAAGACTGATCAAACTTGAATTAAAAATGATTGGCTCATATCCACCGATAAATCTGTCTGGTAAAACGGGATGGCACGTCAGATGGGAATAGCAGACCTGAGGGTGTGTGTGTGTGTGTGTGTGTGGGTGGGTGTGTGTGTGTGTGTGTGTGTGTGTGTGTGTGTGTGTGTGTGTGTGTGTGTGAGGGTGTGTTATTGTCCAGCCTCAGCCATGTTTATAGAACCGTCTGCTCCAGCCAGACGGACACAAGAAATAACAGCAATAAGCCAACCACCATCACACGCACTCTATCAATCGTCACCAGTGTGTGTGTGTGTGTGTGTGTGAACGCAACGGAGGGAACTGGATGGAGTGATGGATGAGAGGAAAGGCGAAAGGAGGGGAGGAGTGAGTGTGTGCAGAGAGGGATGAATAAAACAACAGTCCGAGCGAAGGAAAGATGAAAAGATGTTCAACGGTCAGAAGTCGCTCAAATGAAATGAAATGAGGTGTCACTAAACGCCGAATGTTTGGTTTGACTCAAAGCTTCTCCTCCTCACCATCTCTCACTCGCTCTTCTGCCAAGTTACACAAGATGGTTTACAATGGACAGACGGATAAATCATCAATCAAGGAGGGACGACACGTCTCCACTTCCTCCAATTGTACAAAATTGAAGCTAAAATATCCAGGCGCCGCCATCTTGGGCTTCTGACGCTTTCTGGAGCGAGAGTCTGTGCAGCAACGATAACGTTGGACCGCGGGTTTTATTTCAGCATCGAACTCAGCAGAAAATCACAAAAGCAGAAAGAGAATTTGAAATCGATAGAAAGGTGGAGAAGTGAGGCAAGGCGGGATTGATGGAGGGAAGGAGAGAAAGCCGACGTCTGACTCACCCGACGATCTGGTTGAAGTATCGCCTGTATCCCTCCAAGGTTTCGTGCTAGAAAAGTAAAAAGAAAGAAAGAACAGAGGGAGGAAAAGAAGTTTGGGAAAAACATGGGGGGGGGATATGGGGTGTGCAACAGCAGCAGAAGAGTACAGACAGAAAAAACAATCAGCGTCACTAATACTGGTTTGTAAATTACCTCTTACGATAAATTCACAGGACAAAATGCATCAGAATGGAATTTAAAATACACCAGAAAACATATGTGTTAAAAAAAAACAACAAATAAAAGTTAAATATTTGCTTATTTTTATTATTCACAGAATAATATCTCTAATTTCTTCTGTTTTGCTCATGATAACATAAATTACACATAGATGAACATGTGTGTGAGTGGGAGAGGGGTGTGTGTGTGTGTGTGTGTGTGTGTGTGTGTGTGTGTATGTGTGTGTGTGCGTGTGCAGGGAGGAGGGTACAGTAAGTGTAGTTAGTGTGTAGATACAACAGTGCAGACACAAACACACACAGTGATGGTGCAGGGTCATACCATGTTAGAGTGCGGCTGCAGTACGAGGCGAGCCTGTTTCCTCCTCTGCTTTCTGTAGTAGTTCTCAAACACATCACGCAAACCCTACGTGAGAAAAGGTGAATTTAAATATAGATTTTAATGGTTAACTAAGGCAGGAAATCATTTTATTTATGATGTTAAGAATTATAGATGAGGCATTTTTAAATCAGGATCTTTTTATTTCAATATTTTTATCTGTTGATTTTCTTCAATAACAATGAAACGACTCCATTCAAACCTGATACGTGTTTAATTTATTGACAAACTAATCAACTTTCATAAGAAAACAAAACTCCAGGGAAATAAAAGACCTTTGTTTTTGCACTTTTCATCTGTTTCAACCATACGCCGTCAAAGACGGACGGAACGACAGCTCCTGATTTCCCACATTTCCATGTAAAACACATTTCAGTAAAGCTGAAACCCTCAGAACATGTTCCAAACTGTGATGCTTCACGTCGTGGTTGACAACACTGAGGAACGCAGCCAAACGCTAACGGTCGTTTGAGGCGGTTTCTGACTTTCAAGGCAGATTAACTTAATGAGGTATGAAAACCAAAGGTTACCACCGCTGCATGATGGGAAAGTGGAGATAAGGTGTCTTTTGCAGACTAAAACTGGTTCCTGTTCAGTTTTGGTTGGCGTCACAGGTCAGACATCGAAACTGAAGCCAACACAAAACCACACACACACTCACACACAAAATCAACTTTCTAAACTCGACCACCTTCGTATCTTTTACTTCCATTACACAGAAGCTGTGTGTGTGTGTGTGTGTGTGTGTGTGTGTGTGTGTGTGTGTGTGTGTGTGTGT